GCCCCTTGCATACAGCGTAGCTATCTTAATTGACATCTTCTAAGTCCTGTAAAATAGAAAAAACAGAATTAACCTATTCACATACGGGGCTGTAAGGACCCCGACGGAATGTCCCAGGTTCCCTGTACCCAACTCGGTCGTCATACGACCACCCAGGACAATACCGCCAACGTCCGTGGGGGTATGTTAGTTTAATAGCTCTATACAAAGAGGGATGGAGCAGAACAGGAACCCTCTCAGAGCAAAGATTCCGCATTTTTTTCAAGTCTTCATTATTTTCTTCATACACCCTTATTTTAGGGTAGGCTACTTGAGCCTCATTTATATGGCTCCATACTTTCAAGTATGCCCCAGTGTCTCTTAGGATGGTGATGACTCTCGCGGCGTTAGGGAAGTTTCGTGGGTCTTCCACCGACTTCCCACCCACCTCCTCAACTTTAAACAGGAGCCCCCCAAAAGGGACCTTTTTTGCTTAGACAGGCCTTTTTTTGGCCTCCCCCTTATCCACTTTACAAATCCCATCGGGACCCGGGAAGTATTTCTTCTTTTTTTCTTCTCCCTTGCACGATGGGGAGGGGAGGAAGTAGACGTATGCGGAGAAGTAGCAGGTGAACTTAGGGGTGTAATGGGGAAAGAGGGGGGTGGAGCACGGGAAGGGGAAGAAGGAACGCTCTTAACTGGGAGCTGGAAGATCTTGTTGGCAAAGCAGGGAAGGAGTTCCGCCTGGTTCTGTCCATGCTTCGCTCCGCCCTGCTACGACCAGAATGTCTTGGTTCTATTTCCTCTGGATCTTCTTCCCTGCTTCTTTTTAGGGACGCAGCTTGCGGTGGAGGCATTCTGTCCATCTCCATTGGTGTTTCTTTCTCCACCTGCTTCTGTTTGTGGAGGCATTGCTGTGGCCCCTGCTGTAGTTTTTGTTGTTGTTGTATCTGATGCTCCTTTTGTTGTTGTTTCTGCTGCTCCTTATGCTGCAGTTTTTGTTGCTGTTTCGGCTGCTGGTGATTCTGTTGTTGTTGCTGAGAAGGTTGTTGCTGCTGCTGGGGCTTCTGTTGTTGTTGCGCCTTCTGTCGCACTATGGGAGAGGCTGGAGTTGCCACTCTTCCCAACTTTCTTCACCTCAGTCCAGGCTCCCGGGGCGGCCTTTTCTTTCGTTGCTGCCACCTCTGCCGCTGCTAGTGCTGGCGTCTCCTTTGTTGACTGCTGGTCCTTTTTTCCCGGGGCACTCCTTCGCCATGTGCCCGACCGCACCACACGCCCAACAACACGGCCTCCTACCCTCCACCACTACCACCAGCATTCTGTTATCCCGGCAAGTTAACACGTTTGGGATGTCCCGAAAGTTGTCTCTGTCGAGGACCACTTGGAGCACCATGTCTCCCGTTGCTATCCCCGACTTGCTTCTGACAGCACTCACTTCCTCCACTTGGCCAAACTTTGCAAAGCACGCTCCCATTCTGTCCTGGGGAATGTCGACAGGAACGCCGTGAACTGTTATTTTGGTTTTTCTTGTCCCCATATACTCCGTTTGGAGCCGAACGTTTGCTGTGGATAAGATATTCCCGGCCAGCTGCTTTGCCTCTTGCTCTGAACCAAGCAGAATGTCCCACATGGCATTAATTCTGCGGGCCAACATCTTGGGGGCAATCTTGAGGGTCTTCAACGCATCCTCCACATTGTTGACTTCAATGAGTCTATGGCTTTTGACATCTGTTGTCAGCAGAGATATAACTTTTACCTTGATAGCGTTCAAGGCCTCCGGGATTGTTACAAAGTCATTCCCTTTTATATACTCTTCGTATTTCACCCGTTGTTCTTCGTAATACGCAGTCTTTTTTCCTCGGTCCACTTTCGGACCAGGCCTGTGTTTTCGCAGGTGACAAACTTTGGATGTGCACCGGCCGAGCTTCCACTGGTGGAGTCATGTTTACGTTTGTGTCGTCGGCCATTTTGTATTTCTTTTGACTCAAATTTTTTCAATCTTTCCAAAAAAGGATAAACAGAAAATAATACGGAAAATAAAACGTAAGAAAAACGTGGACAACAAAGATAATTCAAACAAATAAATACAAAACAAAGTAATGCAAACAAAAACAGTGGGGAGGGTAAAAATGCAAGAAAGGAAAAAAAAGGAAATAAACAAAAACTAAAAGAATAAAAAATACAAAAATAAACTAAAAACTGAAGAATTCGAAAAGGTTTTAGAAAATCAAATCACAAACTTAACAGTTTGTTGGGGGTGTGCAGGATTGTTAATTATTTAAGAAAAAATCAGAAGGAAATTTTAGTGGTTGTGTGTCTCACTGCATCCCCAAACATATAAATAAACGAACTTTCAAATGCAATTAAAAAACGAAACATATGCAATTTAGAAAACAATGCAACATTTATACAATTTATCAATATACAGATTGGGTAATCAGTGTGTGTCGTGTGGACAAAATTGTGTGTGTGATTGTTTGAATCGTGAATGTCTCTTTGTTGATATTGTTCGTTGGTTCGCTGTCTTTTTGTTTGTGTCAAATATGGTAATCATGAATAATAAGAGATTTTGGAAAGAGTTTTTTAGAGTGGTCTACCCTTAAACGTATTTGATGTTTACTTATTTTTTGTAGTGAATACAATTCACTGTACAAAAGTAAGTTGAGAAAAGTGTTCACAGAGTTGATTGATGAATGATCGAATGTGAGTCAGCGAAGTGTCTTCGTGCGCGGCAAAATTGTGGTTTGTAGCAGCGTGGAGTATATTGTAAATTACTCTGCGAATTCGTGAGACTGACTGCATGAAGTTGGTAATTGTCTTTAACGTCTGGTCAGCAATGTCTAAGACAGGAGTCGGTGAATGTTACATCTTGAAACTTGGTAATTACTGCTGCTATTCTCTCTGAAGGTTCAAACGTTCTCGGTTTATATATCCACCGGGTGACTCACTTGGATTTGGCGCAATATCTGTTTTGCACGTGAACTTCAAGTGATTGACCAATGGGGTTGTTTGCTTCGTTTCTTGTCGTTTTTATTGGTCGAAGTTTTCTAGGTACGTAGGCGTACGATGTGGACTCTGCTTTTGTTAGGGTTAGAAGGTAAGGAAAATTGGACGAGTCCACAAGTTCAATTTCCAAAAGCTTGTCCAATTCGCTCAAAAAACCAACACTTCAACCTTTAGTATATGGGCTACGAGCTTTACTGCCCGAATTTTCCGATCTCGAATCGAGAACACCAACTGCTTTTATCGGCAGAACCTATTTATTTTTCATTCGTCGACAGCTGAGATAGGATGTTCAGTAATTTGCATATCAAAATACTTTTATAGCGACTCCTGCGACGGACTTGATTTTTTTTTCTTTAATTCAATTATTCCATTTACAGCATGTCATGCGGAATACGTGCCCTTTTGTTTGGTAAGTAATTTTCTTTTTCGCCACTTTTTCCGTCGTAGAATACACGCGACGCTCTGTCGCTTGGTTTGACGAGGTAAGTCGCCGTTTTCTTCGCTATAAGTTTCAATATTAAAAAAAAAGTCTGTTTGAAGAAAGTTGCAATAGAAATACTTACTGTGTAAACAAATCGTATTTTTAAATCATATATATTACCCGTTGAGTCACTGAAGGTTCAGATGATAAAACATTCAAGTTGGGCACCTCGAGGTGGCGTAATGGTTAGCAAGCTTGTCTCGCTAGAACAATTACGACTGAGTAGTGAGTTCGATCCTCACTGGGTGCCCCATACTTTCGGCCTTGTGCCACATCTGAGCTACGCTTGGAAAATCGCTATAAAATATTGAAGTTCCTTTGAACATTAAAAAAATTGCATGTTTGTAGAAAGTTGAAATAAAAATACTTACTTAAATAAACAAATCGCATTTTTAAATCATGCAAGAGATAGAATTTGTTTCTTACTGTGGACGATGTTGTGGTAGTCTGAAAAGGTCTCTTTGAAGTTTGTTAGCGCTATCATGAGCTCGGGAAGTTCACAAGAGAGAGTGACGTGGACCTTGATGACAGCTCTGATTATCCTGTTTGGGGCCGGGGTTCGTGTTTTTTATACACTTTCTCGTAAGAAAATCGACTCCAAAATTAAATTATTTACTTTCTAATTGGTCAAAATAAGCCATGTGGTATGTCTTCCACTATGACTGTACGATATTTTGGCGGTAGTGGCGTGGACATTGATGACAGTTGTGTGTATTCTGTTTGGGGCCGGATTTCGTTTGTTCTCCATTTCCTTCTCACTCACCCATTTCCTACACGATAATAAATTTACTTTCTTTCTTTACCCAGTCTCTATATATGACTTCTGGCAAACCCACAAGCAAACAAAGTTCACCTAGTTTTTTTAGTAATATAGAGATGTTATTAGGATCCACTAAGATTATATACCAACGGATTTATTACCTGTACTATATATATATATATATATATATATATATGTATATATATTTATCTTACTTATTATAAAACGCAGATAGTGTGTGTGTGTGTGTGTGTGTGTGTGTGTATGTTTATATATTGGATCGAATATCCTACATTTTTCAACCGATTTCAACAAAACTTCACGGGACTGCGTAAAATTACCTTGCGGTGGTTCTGACAGCGCCAAAAATTGGAAAAACACAATTGTTTTTGCACGAAATCAATTTGAAAACACGATAAAACACCATTTTGTCGCCAGAATGAAAGGGGGACAACTCATATCGAGTCATACTTATTTTTCAACCGATTTCAATAAAACTTCACTTTTTTTGGCAGGTAGTGTTTCTTATTGTCTTGCACACTTTTTTCTTTATTTTTACATTCAGAATGCTTTAGAAATTTCATTTACAAGACAATTGTTTATAATAAAATTCTATTCAATCGGTAGACTCATAACGATTGAAAACAATGTTTTTGTTTGAGTTGGGGTTAGACCAATTCGTAAAAAAAAAAACCCAAAAAAAACAAAAAACTAATTAAGACATGCGTGTCCGTCAACCTTAAATAATAAAGTTTGTCAATTTTATTTTTCAGTCTTTATGATGGTCGATACTTGATCTATCTCTTACTGTTACATCCCCGGGCAACGCCGGGCTCTACTGCTAGTATATATATATAATAAAATTAAAATATAGTTTTAACGTATGTTATATTTATGAGTTAAAGTGATCAATATCAGAGATAGAGCCTATGTAAATATAAGATTGGACATTGGCTGATGATTACGTTTGGCATGAAAGAGACTGTCGCCTCTGGGTGTTGACTTAAATATTCACTTTTTAGATGTACATACGCTCTATCTCTGATACTGATTCACATCAGAAAGACAACAGTTGATATCTCTCGTGTACTTAATGAGGAAAAAGGGCTTCGGAAACTTGACACTCACAGAACATATTAAAGGCAAGAGAGAGGAAAACAGTGCATAACCTAACCTAGTAGCTTTGAGCAATAGATAGCAAAACAGGGACTAGGAGAGAAGACTGACGATTGTGTCTATCATGGAACAGACTGTCGCCTCTGGGTATTGACGGAAATGATATATAGGAATGGGAGGGGAGTGGGGAGAAAAGAAAAGGAAAAATGGAAAAGAGAGAGGAGAGAGACGACAGTAATACAGATATATCCAAATGAGTGTTACGGCAAAGAGAGAGGGGGGAGGGAAGTGAATCGAAAGAGGCTGTCATTTTGTTTTAACAAAATTATGTAAAAGATAGATTTCATTGCTTGAAATGCCATTCCTATATATCATTTCCGTTACGTTAACCATCTAAATAGGTCAATGTTCGGTCACTCCTCCTACCCCAATATAAAGCATGCTTAAAAGAGATATGAAATTAACCCCTCCCTATACTCTACCTTGTCTCTTTAACTACAACTCGCACCCCCTGATAAATTACAAAAATTACACTACCCATCAATTTCTAATCCCATTTTTCCTTTCATTTCGTTGTTGGAATTGTTATCTGATGATCCGGAGTCCTTTAAAAAGGATTTTGGTGAAATAAATTATTGTAATAGTACCTTAAAGTGGTTTGTTTTTCATTAAATATTAGCTCTGTATTCACATTGAGCTCTCAGGATTTCATCCTCCTTGGAATTACCCATTCGGTTTACCAAGTTCTTAGTAACTTAACTATTTAAATATATATATATATATATATATATATATATATATATATATATATATATATATATATATATCGGGTTTCGATGAACTGCATTACAGTGAAAAAATCTCTCTGTGAATGACAATATATACGAACCCGAAAAAAACAAAACAAAAAAAACTTAAATTCAGTTGTGCACTGTTGGAAGATAAGTGTGAATTTAAAAACAATGACTATTACTACTAATATTACAAGGCTCTTCCACTTCCTTGAATTGATCTCTCGCATTATTGACGTTTTTATTCACAGAATCAGTAATAGAGATGAGACTATATATGGACAAATAGGTACAAACCAACTGAGAAATTTATGACCAGATTCATAGATAGATGTGAGCGCACACACATCTCTCGGTCCCCCATCATATATATCTGTATGATTTTCATCTTTCTCTCTCTATTTCTGACTCTCCGTCTATTTCTGTCTCTGTTTCTGTCTCTCTGCCTCTCTGTCTCTGTCTCTGTCTCTGTCTCTCTCTCTCTCTATATATATATATATATATATATATATGGGCATAATGAATTAGATAGATAGATAGATAGAGACAGAGAGAGAACAGATAGATAGAGAGATAGATAGATATAAATTGAAGAATTCGATGTGAATAAATCAAATATGTAAGTATGTATTTAGCAAGCTGGTTATATATTAGGTTGTTGGTGTAAAAATAATGACGTAATAATGTCGTTTTTTAACGTATTTTTTCACGTCAAAAACGACATTATTACGTCATTATTTTTGCATCAACCTTATATATATATATATATATATATATATATATATATATGGACATACTGAGATAGATAGATAGATAGATAGATAGATAGATATGAATTGACGAAGTAGGTAGATAGATCTGAATAAACCAGGTATGTAGGTAGGTATATTGTGAGCTGGTTAGATAGATAGATAGATAGATAGATAGAGAGAGAGAGAGAGAGAGAGAGAGAGAGAGAGATTGATAGGTAGGTAGGTAGGTAGGTAGGTAGGTAGGTAGGTATGGAAACAGATTTGTAATGATCAATATTTTCGTATATAACCAACACGAGAACTGACGATAATTTGACGTTAACTTTTTACTGCATTTTCCACAATTTTTTGGCACCTTTAGAAATCTTTTTTTTCGGTTCTCAATGCTGTTTAAAATAGGCATTTTCACTTCTTTATGTATTCATATTTCGTGGCTTGAAAGGCTTCGTTATCGTTGAATACTTGCCATCAGTATTGTATCTACATTTCTGATTGCTCACAATCTGCATATCACTTTTGACCTTTCGCCACGGTTAAACGCCGAGGCACTGTGAATGAGGATGCGTCATACACAGTCATACAGCGGGTGTCGAATCGTGGGTGGTCGCCAATCATTGCATTTGATAGCAAGGCTCGATATTTTTACGAGAGACATTTATAGTTATCCACAAGGGCACGCAAACGTAACCTCGCTACTCTCGCACCTGGAGCCCATCCGAAGACCCGCTCATATACTCTGATCAGCAGGAAATCAGGAGATGTAAATAAATATATAAATATCGACAAATACATAAATAGGCTCTTGCGTACACGTGGACACTCATAAAGAAACTGTCAAGAGTTCAAGAACATATGTATACACACGCACACAGAGGTGCGAGTTAGAATGTAAGCACATCCATTTACGCGAAAAACTCAAAGCACTTACCCGCAAAAACAGACGCACTCATTCACACACACACACACGCACACACACACTCATACATACATACACATACACACACAAGTGCACGCGTAAAGACATGTATCTATAGAAATATTTTGAAAAAAAAACTTTAAAATTTCTAAAACTTAAATAAAAGTGAAACGTCACATTTCTGAACGTTTATGATATGTTCATTACTGTATCATTCTGTTGAATTTAATCCATAATATATTCCGATTATATCTCTTTCTCCCCCTATCTATCTATCTATCTATCTATCTATCTATCTATCTATCTATTCAGTCTGTCTGTCTGTATGTATGTATCTATCTATCTATTTCAGTATGTATGTATTTATGTATCTATTTTAGTCTGTACATATGTATGTATGAATGTATGTATCTATCAATCTATCTATCTATTTCAGTCAATCTGTCTGTATGTATGTATCTATATAACCATCTGTTTCAGTATGTATTTAGTCTGTACATATGTATGTATGTATGTATCTATTTTAGTCTGTACATATGTATGTATGTATGTATGTATCAATCTATTTCAGTCTGTACAAATGTATGTATGTATCTATCTATCTATTTCAGTCTGTACAAATATATGTATGTATGTATGTATGTTTGTATCTATTTCAGTCTGTACATATGTATGTATGTATCTATCTATCTATCTATTTCAGTCTGTGCATATCTATCTATCTATCTATCTATCTATCTATCTATCTATCTATCTATCTCAGTCCGTACATACCTATATATGTATCTCTCTATCTATTTCAGTCTGTACAAATCTATCTATCTATCTATCTATCTATCTATCTATCTATCTATCTATCTATCTATCTATTTGGGAGAAAATAATATATATTTCTTATATATACAAGAACAATATTATGAAAATTAATGACACATGGCCCAGTGTTTAAAAGCGTTGGTTGAATCCAGTGACTTGACCCAATGTGTTGTGAGTTCAATACCTGCCTACAGCAGAAGTAAACAAAAACATGGAGAGTTGAGTTAAAGGGAGATAACTGATACTGGGACATCCGGAAGAGGCATCGCACGTGGAACTAGGACAATCTACACCGGTGGACGAAATCAAAGGTTCCGTTCGAAATTTCTAATCAACTGAAGATGGTCAGACCATACAACGACCGAAACGTCGTGAATATGACAACGAAGATGGGGACAACTGTTCGAAAACTGCAAATAATTACCATACCACATCTCAGAAATATAGACAGATCTCTTCACCTAGATTCATTCTATTATGTTATGATCAGGGATTTGGGGCAGGTCAATTTTGTAAGCCTGCAATATATTTATCAGTTAGTAAATTCTTTGTTACATGCGATTTATGGGAATGGGATCTACCAAGTTGGAATATTTTGCCTTCTGTTATATTTGCTATATAGACGCGAATTCAGTAAATTCATTTTTTGCTGTGTTTCAACGATTATAATCAACTTTCTTATACTATTACTTTTGATGGTGCCTGAAATAATTAAACATACATCACCGAAATTTATTGTATTTGTTGTGGATAATTTCTTGTAACAATTAGTCTTTCAGTTCTACTCTCTTACATTAGGATTCTTTTTTGGTTTGCCTTCATGAATATATTTAAACTTTGGTCCGTTTTGTAGTGAAAGAGATAATCAGCATTTTTTTTGGCCCCCGATATTCGAGTCTGTACTTACGGTGATTTTTCTTTGTGTTGTGGAAGTAATCTGCGACAAATACTTCCTTTGCAATCCCAGAACGCTTACACTTACAAGCTATTTAGGCAGATCGCACACAAAACACGAACTTTTTGGTAATCCTTCTTCGGCTTCAATTGGTTGAACAACTGCGGCCACTGGTTCATCAGCCTCTTTTTCGTCGATCATGATAGCACGGGCTCTGGTCAACAATTGATTGAGCGTCAGGTCTTCCATTCTGGATGATGCGCGGAGTATCTGTAACATGACTGGGCAATCCAGACACGAAGGAACATGTCATCCATTCTTCAGGAAGCGGTGCAATTGGAACGGCGTCTGCGAGATCACGAAGATTGAACGGATTCTTCCACTGCGATTAAAAGGCGGTGCCCTTGCTGTGTATAGGCAGCTGAGCAAAGAACGGAAAAAGGTCGTGTTTTGTGTGCGATCTGCCGAAATAGCTTGTAAAAGTAAGCGTTCTGGGATTGCAAAGGAAGTATTTATCGCAGATTACTTCCACAACACAAAGAAAAATCACTATAAGTACAGACTCGAATATAGGGAGTGTTTTCGCTTATTTTATTTTTTTTTCACTTTTGATCATATTTATATTATTTTTACGTAGTATCTTTTTTACAGTATGTATTGATACCCTTCAGTAATAATACCGCTATAATCAATTGCTTGACGATCTATTAATTCGGGGTTGGAGAATCACGACCTCACAAGCGTTCTTTGATATCTCTTCTCTTATTTCGAAGAACCACTCGTCTTTTTCATATCCAAAATACTCCTTTAGAATGTCATGGTCAGCACTATTTGATATTCTCTGATAAAATCCAAATAAGAATCAGCAATGTTATTGGTCATGATCTGGCATCTTTCCCACCGCCACCACGGAGCAGCTTCCTGTAAATATTTTCTGTAAATATTTTCAAGCTCAATTTTTCTGATAAACTCTCCACTCTGTTATACAGACTTCATGAATTTAACCGCAATAGCAACGTCTAATCATTTTACAGTTGACATGGCTAGATGTAACCGCAAGTTCTGTGTTAAGTTTTTATTCTTTCTCACTTCTCAATTGTGGAACTCTTTTCCGGCCTTGTGCATCCCAGTTAACTTTTATCATTAAAAATTTAAATGCAATATTAATTGTTATTTTTGGTCTTCTTAATTCGTATTCTTTTATTCTTCTCTCTTCTTAATAGTGTTTTTTTTCTCTTATATTCTCTCACACTCAGTAATCCCTTGCGTCTTAGTGACTTTATTGCCTTTCTTGGAGTGAAATGATTAAAAAAATTACAAGCTCCTTAGCTATTTTTCATGTTAATTTTTCCTTTCTGACGTTCCTATAGTTTTCATATTCTTCCCAAGGTTACTTTTCCCACTTTGAAACTCAAACCTACTAGACGAAAATGATACATGGAAGATTGCAGATTTCATGCGATCGGCGTTTCACTATTGAGAACTTTGCATGTCTCTCTTAATCTGGTTAATCTTGCGCGTTGTCAAGTGGGTCATAAATTTTGCCTGCCTTATTTTCGGCATCACGAGATGCTCAGATCTGTATCTCACCACGTACTGTTCGTGGGAATACAATTCACAGATAATACTCTTGAAAGTAAATAAAGAAAACTTCATTTTTCATAGATGGCTTATTTCTTTTATACTTACGCGTGTCAGGGTATTTCCTTTAGAAACCTGAAAAATTTTATGCACGACGGCTCAGCAATTTACCTAATATATGGAATTAGGTTAAGGATAATGAGAGGGAAATGATATGTTTGTTAACGCTAAAGAAGTTTTTTTTTCATTTCCAACATTAAATGTGACAGGACGTTTTTCTAACCTAATATATCATTAAAATTTCAGCTTAAAATATTCAAAATAATTAAATGGAACATCATAGTCCGACTGTCAAACAATGGATATTTCAGATCAATAGTAACCTATGAACTGCTAACTAATCCTTTACCTACTTGTATATTCCAATTCCAGTCGAATCCATTACATTCACTTACGTACTAATTCCCTAGGGATAGGTATGAATCCTCTTCTACCCCTAACTATGGGTATGTTGAGGGGTCCTCTCCTTTTTACACTAATGGACTCACCCAGTATATACATATACTACTGATACGGGAAGACCCGCAAGACAGACCGAAGAGGCAGAGTGAAAGGTTGGATGTAACAGACAGACAGACAGGACGAACGTAGCCAGCAAGAGTCACAGTGAGCGAGCACGTAGACTCAGTAAGAAGTCATACAGCGATACTTCAATACCAAAGACTGTATATATATTTTGCTACTAACCCGTATTCCTGGAACTACTAACCTGCGTTACCAGTTTGTATTATTTTTTCTCTTAATACATTATTTTTCTATATTCATTCCTGGCGTTTATTATTTATTGGTACCGGATTTCATCCCGGAATCCACAACAGGGTAAATAGCAGAACAGACCAGGTTCTATAGCCTTGGATGGCTACTGGTCTACTGCAGAAAGAAATGGCAACCTACTGCGGGAAAAATCTGTTTCGTCAATCATGTATTGAAAGTTACATGATCGCCTAAGCGGGTATCACGCATGGCGCAAGTATTATTATATACAACTACAGCTACTACTACAATTACTACAACTATTGCTATTAATAATAATAGTCGACAAATTTCAGATTGGATTAAGTTACGCAAAGACGTCTGCAAGAAAAAAAAACAATTTAAAAATAAGCTAATATTAGAATTTTTGAGTACCTTAGTACTAGTGAGCCAAACAAAAATGAGCTGACTCATTTTATAGTTCACCAATAAAAGGGTTAACCAATCAGAAGGCTCAAAATATTCAATGCGACATGTATAAAGACGGCCATGTTTTTTTTCCGAATATTCACTGGCAGCCTTTGATATCGAAGACTGAAGAATTACAGAACAGCTGCAAGAAGCCGGAAAAGAGTTTCACAAGTGAGAAGTAAG